TGGCTGTGGACGTGGTACTCTTACCAGACACTCCTGTAAGAGAATTTGAGATATGAGAGGTGGAACAGGTGTAGACTAAATATAACCTGGACACCCGCACGCCTCCTCCACACCTACCTGATATATTGAACAAGAAGTCTCCGATAAGTGTAACAGAGGCATGTCTAATTCTCCAATTCTCGTCATACAGAGCTGTTTGCAGTTGCGGTAGCAGCAAACGACGAGCATGTGAGCAGTACTGAGCAATAAGACGTTGACCTGCTTTGAGAGCAGAGGCGCGAACATACCTGAATTGAACAATAATAAATGAATATATGAGATCAAGTGGAGTACTAACTCGTTCTCATCAGCCAACGCCTTCAGGATAGGTGGTACAATTTGAGGTAGATATGGTAAGAACTTTTCTCCAAACACCATCGGTAGATAGATGTACATGAGAATGTAACCATCACGCGTTTCGGCGCTGACCTGCAATTTTTGGATACGTTAATTTCACAGCAATAGCAGCAGATTTTGAACGAGAAAAAATCACTTCTGGGCTTTCCGTTGCCGCAATGATTTCGGGCATAACAAACTCGAGCTGCTCTGAACCAATTCCAGCAAGTACTTCCGAAAGGCCTTGCGCAGCACCAGAACGATCCACAGTAGATTGTGGAGAAACCTGAAATACCACGAAAAACGTTATAACCAAAACACTCATAAACTCCAACAAAACAATTACCAGTTTTTCCTTCAACCATGGTACAATACTCTCTCGGAGTCTATCACTGGTTGTTCCTGTCGACCTTGCTACGATGGCTCCAAGCGCTCTTGCTGCCACTGTGCGAATCTCTGGTACAGGGTCAAGGAGCGACTTTTGGAGGCCAGGTACAAGATCACACAGATACGGCTCCATGTCCTAGATGTCAGAATGTGGGAAGATTAGCAAAAGTCTATTTTTGTAGCTTACCTTATTTTCCGTGAGTGAGTAAATGCTGGCAATGATTTGTGCTGCAACCTTTCTGGTTTCACTGTTTCTGTCTTCGAAGGCTCGTCGGACAATTGGCATGATAAGAGCAAGAGAAGGTGCATCGATGTAGTGGATGAATTTAGTATTGAGAACGGCCTGTAATGAATCAAAATCACAAGGTACAAAGAAGCAAGAGAAGAGACTCACCTGCAGTGCGTAATTGGTTTTGCTGGCAGGATCAAGGAGTCCAGACATCAGCTGATTACTAACCCCCAGAATCTCTGGATTTCTAATAACACTAGCGATTTGCCTCAATGCTTTCTCACCACTTCGTTGGACCTAGATATCACAAATATTGCTCAAAAACTCCACAAAAATCTTCGCAAGAAAAGCAAGTGATCCAGCAGATAGTATAAACATTTAAACACAGGGAAAATTAGATGTGAAAATTCCTCACTTTTGAAGATGAATCAGCCAAGACTTCGATGAGCTTAGGAACAATATTTGGCAGACATGCGGACAGTTGTCTGGGTGCACAGAAGGCCATTGAACCAAGCAGTTCAGCCTAGTGTAAAAATGATGAGCCATGTGGCTCTACCAATCCCAATACATAGGTACATCACAAAACTTCTTACTGCTGCACATTTCGTCCTCCAAGACTCGTCATCCAGTGCTGTGAGCAATGAAGGAAGCACAAGCTTCGTTCCATGTGGAGACATTGAGGACATCATGGCTACAGCAGTATCCTGACAAATCAATGGATTGACAATAACACATTAAAAAAGTCATTTGTAAATACCTCAGCTGCTTTTCTGACATTCTCATCGCTGTCTCCAAAACAGAGAAGAAGAGAAGGTAATGCTTGAATCATGTAGGGCTCAAATAACTTTCCAACGGTGCTGAGAATGAAATGAAGTTTATGACAAGTTGACTCGGCTGGCACAGCAGATTCAACTCTTGGTTTCCCATTTCACACTATGTTATGACGACTACATACCTGCACAAGATTTCAAGTGCTAACAGTCCACCTTCGCGATGCTTCACATTCTTCTTCTCAAGAAGCGCTTTGTGTATTGATGGTAAAAGTTCCAGCTCCTTGAAAAAAAGCCTTTTCAATAGCATAATACCCATGTTAGCAGTGCGAGTTCAAAATCACATTAATTGTACTAAATCATACTTTGAGTGACGCCACTCCCATCCCCTTGACTATGCCCGCTATTCCATAAGCAGCTCCTCTACGTTCACCGTAAGAGTCGGCTTCAAATAGAAGCCATTGAAGTTTTTGTACAAGTGACTTTACTGTATCCTTGATAGCAGGAACCAGCGGAGAAAGACATCGTGAAACCGATTCTTGCACCTG